TTGCCTCTGAAGCATCTAGGGATGCAGCACTTCCTTAATAGCAAAGGAGTGGATGTCATGAAAATACTAGAAACAAAGCTTAATGTCACAGTTCTGTCTGAGATTATGCAGAGAAAATTCATGGATTGGGAATACATCCATAATTTTGATCATTATGATGTAGGCCGCATCTTACTTATGTGGAAATCTGATAGGGTCCAGCTCACTATTTTGGAAGCTAATTCTCAAATCATGCATTGTGCCATCAATTGCAGAGTTACAGCTAAACAATTCCAGGTTTCTTTCATTTATGGCCTTCATTCTGTAATTGCAAGAAGACCACTTTGGGATTGTCTTATGCATATTGGCTCATCCATTGATGTTCCTTGGCTTCTGATGGGGGACTTTAATAGTGTGCTTCCCTCCAAGATAGAATCAACGGAAATCTCATCTCTGCCTACGAAATGGAAGATTTTTCTAATTGTTGTTCAGCTTTGGCACTTGAAGGTCTGAACAGCCATGGTTCAACTTTTTCTTGGACTAATGGGAGAGTTTGGAGTAAACATGATTGAGCTATTTGTAACCAACAATGGTTTGATCAGTTCCAACATTCATCTGCTACTATTTCCTGCATTGAGTCAATTTTCGATCATGCATCTATTTTAGTGAACTCCGAGATGGCTGTTGTGAGAGGTAACACCCCTTTTAAATTCAGTAATGCTATTGTTGATCATGATTATTTTGCAGTAATTGTTTCTGAGCGATGGGGATGCCCTCAATTTGGCTGCAAAATTTATTCTATTTGTGAAAAGCTTAAATCTTTGAAGGTCCCACTGAAAAATCTTTATAAGTAAGAGTTTAGCAATATTTCCACCCGTGTTGAGCAAGTTGAAGCTAATTACAATAGTCAGCTCCTCATCCTTCAGCATAATCTACATGATGCCATCCAATTGGGTCAAGTGAATCTCGCAGAAGCATCACCATCCAGCTGAGAAAAGCATAGACAAGAACTTTGGCTTAACTTGTCAAAAATAGATACCTTTTGCAAGCTGACAAGTGCTCCAGATTTTTTCACTCATTGATCAAGAGGAATAGAAATAGAAGATACATTGCTGCCATCCAGAAATCAAATGGCCAATTTACCACATCTCAGACTGAAATTGGCATTGAGTTCGTTGAACATTTCAAAAATATTCTAGGCTCTTTTGGACAGTCTGACCCACCCTCAATGTCTGTTTGTGATGCTGGTCCAAAAGTGGATCCTTCATTCTTTGAATCTCTATTGGGCCCAGTTTCTAAACAAGATGTTTGGAACATTATAGCTCAGATGGACAGTAACAAATCCCCTGGTCCAGATGGGTTCAATGTTTTTTTTTTCAAAAAAACTTGAAATATTACAGGGGATGACATATATGAAGCTGTGAACGAATTCTTTCTAACAGGCAAGCTTCTCAAGCAAGTCAATCATGCTCTTTTGGCTCTCATCCCCAAATGTGATAGTGCCTCCAAAGTGAGTCAATTCGGACCAATTTCCTGCTGCAATGTTCTATATAAAATTATTGCTAAGCTCTTAGCCAACATAATTTCCCCTGTTCTTGAAGACATTGTCAATGAAGCTCAGTCTGCTTTCATAAAGAAAAGGAATATGATCAATAACATCTTCCTTGTGCAAGAGTTTCTTCGTAAATATGCTCGCAAGAGAACATCACCTAGATGCTTGCTTAAAATTGATCTACACAAAGCATATGTCTTAGTGTTTTGGGACTTTCTGGGCTGGATGCTTAACATAGTGGGCTTACCTACGCAGTTCTGTAAGTGGATCATGTAGTATGTCACAACCACATCCTCATGTGCGATAGTTAATGGCTCCATACATGGTCATTTTAAGGGCCACCGTGGGTTGCGACAAGGGGATCCACTCTCACCCTACCTCTTTGTCCTTTGTTTGGAGTTTTTATCCAGGGATCTCAAGAGCTTACAAGACAATGTTGCATTCAACTTTCACCCCTCTTATGCAGCTGTACAAATGACTCATCTTGCCTTTGCAGATGACATTATGCTCTTCTCTAGGGGAGACATGCCATCTGTCTCTACCATTTTTGAGAAATTCCATATTTTTTGTGCAGTATCTAGGCTTACAATAAGTACTGACAAATCAGCCATATATGCAGCAGGTATAGACTCTAATGTACTCAATGAGTTGTTTGAGCTCACTGGTTTTACTGTTGGAGTCTTTCCATTCCGCTACCTTGGAGTTCCTCTTTTATCTTTAAGGTTAAACGTTTGTCACTATGCCCCTCTGTTATCCCAAATTGCTGGGCTTATTCAGGGATGGAACCGCAAGACACTATCGTATGCAGGCAGGCTGGAGCTTATTCGTGCAGTCATCCAAGGAACTGTCAATTTCTGGATATGTATTTTCCCCCTGCCTTGCTCCGTTCTTGACAGAATCAATGCCTACTGCAGGAATTTTTTGTGGGGAAAATCAAATGTGGGGAGGAAAAAACCATTAGTTGCGTGGAAGGATGTCTGCACCCCTAAGAAAGAGGGTGGCCTTTGCTTATTCTGCCTTAAAGAGTGGAACCAAGCACTCCTTTCTCGCATCCTTTGGGACCTTCATGCCAAAAAAGACTCTCTTTGGGTCAGGTGGGTGCACCATTTTTATTTCAATGGTGGAACTATATGGGACTTCCAAAGCAATGGTTCAAACTCTATACTGCTCAAGAGACTAGCTACAATTCGGGACTTGATCATACTCAGAGAGGGGTCTGTTGAAACAGTAACTCAAAGATTGAATGCATGGATTCAAAATGAGCATCTTATAGCAAGCAATGCATATGATTACTTCCGAACTAGTAAGCCAAAGGTTCATTGGTTTTCTATGGTTTGGAATGCAGCCATTCCTTCTAAATACTCTTTTATCCTTTGGCTTGCAACTAAAAACAGATTGCTTACTTTAGACAATGCTGAGTTCCTTAATAGAGGTGTCATCTGTCCTCTTTGCAATGCTGATGCAGAGAACCATGATCACCTTTTCTTCTCGTGCACCACCTCAAAATGAATCTGGGCTGCTATAAGGGAATGGATGCCATTCACCAGACGCACCATCTCTTTGCAAGGGACTATCAATAGGCTAACTCATGGGAAAGCTTCATCCAGCCTTTTGGGAAAGCTTCGCTGCTTGGCACTAGCCACCACGGTGTACAGCATATGGACAGCCAGAAATTTGAAGCTTTTTGAGAATTCCCCACTTTTTGTAAATGATGTAATTAACAAGATCATGTTTCTTGTTTTTAGGCACTCACACTTGGTACATTTGTATTAGTCACATGCATCTGGTGCATCTGTTTTAGCCACTTGCACTTAGTGCTTCAGATTTGTACATCTGTTTTAGCTTTGATCTTGTAGCGAGGTATGCCCCGTCTATTTTGTATATTGTAAAGAACCTTGGGATACACCACCCCAAAAGTTAGCTCAAAGGGTGGGGTTGCAACTAATGTGGAGTTTATAAGGCCTTGGGCACTCTCACCCTTTGAGCTAGCTTTTGGGGTGGGGTGGAGTACCCCAAGGTTCTTTACATGGTATCAGAGCCTCGCCGCCCCCACTTTCTCTCCGGTGGAATTTCTTAGCACAGGTAGGCTGGGCCTGTTGCATTGTCCACTCTTCAAGCCCAATGGGCTCTTGTGGGAGGGGGCGTGTTGAGATATATAGTCCCACATTGGTTGTATGTGCAACTAATGTGGAGTTTATAAGGTCTTGGGCGCTCCCACCCTTTGAGCTAGCTTTTGGGGTGGTGTATCCCAAGGTTCTTTACATGGTATCAGAGCCTCGTGTCCCGGGTTCGATCCTCACCGCCCCCACTTTCTCTTGTGGAATTTTCTTAGCACAGGTAGGTGGACCTGTGCATTATCCACCCTTCAAGGCCATTGGGCTCTCGTGTGAGGGGGCGTGTTAGATAATAATATAAATCATTAAAGAGGTCCTCACCCAACAACTTAAACTTTTGGGTTGAATTGGTTCTTTACATATATCATTTTGGGTTAATACATATTTACATTTTTCCCAAAAAAAATAAAATAATAAGGCTTATATCAACGTTCGATTCCAAAAAAAATTGACTATGAATGAGAGTAAATTCGGAATTTGGCAAGCTCTCTCTCTCTCAGCAAGATCAATAACATACTGACTTGTTCTAGTAACTACGTTTTTTTATTTTGACAGTTGATGATTATTTGCATGCGTACAGAGTCAAGTTATGTGACGTTGCATGAAATGAAGGCCTACTTGCCAATGTTTTATATCTGACAATGCTGGCATGCTGGTCAATGGATGATGCCAATGAAACCAAAGGAAGATTATCAAAATCCTGAGGAACTCAATCTCTAATATGTCAAAGGCAGAACATAAAAGGCCCCCATCAAGCGAAGCTTCCAAGGATTGGCATCTCTGGTTAATTAGCTCCAGTTTTGATCCTCATTTATCCAAAGCAGAAGCAATACCACTTGATTTTTCTAAGTTAGTTTTCAAGCACTTCCTGGAGGCTTCAAAATTTTCTATATTGCTGAGTGCTAATCTAAAAAATGTTTCACTAAAGCTATTATTGCAAGTAGGACTTTTTTAGATTGCCTTGAGAGACTACACATCAAGTTCGTTCAAAGTAAAAAGATTACCTCTCTTTAAATTGCATTGTCCATTTACTTCCTTTCACCAAACTCAACAAACAAAGTAAAACAAAGACAACCCTTCAAACCAAACTTCACTTGCAAAGCAAACATCACAGAGACCACCTTTGACCTTCTAGTCGTGCTTCTGTTATAAAAAAGTGGAAGAAAAGAACATATAGTAATAGAAAATAGAGATATGAATTATTAATATAAAATATTCTAATATGATTGATTTCATTGAATAGACTAGATGAGTCATACCGGGACATTGGGTTAAGCAAACATATTTTAGTTCCTCAGCATCCCAAATTGATGATGCATACATAAAAATACATACACTTGAGACTAAAAACCAGATAGAAGCGAAATGCATACATTCCTGATCAAATATACAAGCAAGAAATCTTTTAAAAAAACTAGCGTTTTCTACTATTTGTTGTCCGTGAATTAGTACTAGCAGTAGCATGTGATAATTGGTGGGTAACATCTCTCATAGTGGGTCTCTTGTGTGGATCCTTCTCAGCACATCTCAAAGCCACCATAAGCACTTGTGTAACTTTTTCCATTATATGGGTATCTAGAAATTCCTCAGCAAGGTTTGAATCAACAATTTGGTAGATATCACCCGTTTCCCCCCACACAGATCTAACCCAACCAACTACATCAGTGCCCTCCATAAATGAGGGGTCTAGTGGCTTCTTTCTAGTTATCAGCTCAAGCAAAACTACACCGTAACTGTACACATCAGACTCCCTACCACTTCTTGTTGCATAAGCATTCTCTGTCACAAGCCAATGTAATCTATATGAGAATTTTGTAAAGGAAATAAATATCCAATCAAAACAGTAAAATGTACAACAAGTGTTACCTGGTGCAATGTAACCAATTGTACCCGGCACAGATATGGAAGGATTTGAAGTAGAAGACTGATCCAAAAGTTTGGCAATACCAAAGTCAGCAATGTGAGGCTCCATATCAGAGTCAAGAAGTATATTGTTTGGTTTGATGTCTCGGTGGACTATGGGAGGATCACAGTCATAATGCAGATAAGACAATCCATGAGCAATTCCAACAGCTATCTTATACCGGACATTCCACTCTAAGGATGATGGTGGATTCTTTTCATGCAAAACATCATGAAGGCTTCCATTTGGCATGTAGCTGTACAAAATCAGACCATAATCTTTTCTCAACCAAAAGTCTTCCAATTTGACCAGATTTCTATGCCTAATTTGTCCAAGGGTTTGAATTTCTCTGACCATGCTCAAGTTCTTACCTTTGCTAGCAGCAAATCCAAGCTTCTTTACAGCAAAAGCTTTGTCTGGACCTATCAGTGCTTTATAAACAACTCCATGTGCTCCTCTGCCAATGATAAACTGATCATTTAGGTTTGCTGTAGCCTCCATGACTTTGTTAAGAAGGGATGAAGGACCCTCGTTAGCAGAGATTTGGGCTTCCTGCTTAAATTTTTTGCCAAAAACAAAAACATAAACTAATCCCAGCAACAGCAAAACAACAAATATTGAGGATCCCAGTGCTATAATCACAATTTCAACCTTACTCAGGCGCCTCCGATTAGTTGATTCGTTATCACACGGTTTCAGATAGCTGCTTTGAGGGCAAACCGCATCTGATGGTGAACAACTGATACACAGGCCAGGATTACCCAAAAATGATGACAAGGGAGAATCAAGCAACTTCATTAGCATCTGTGGTACAGGACCATGAAAAGAATTGTATGAAATATTGACTTCAACTAATGAAGGGAGTTCATCAAGAACTTGTATGCTTCCTGTCAAATTGTTCTGAGATAGATCCAGTGTTTGCAATTTTTTCAGGTTTGCAATCTCTACAGGAAGGTCACCTATCAGCCCATTGGAACTTAGATTCAACCCATAGATCAAATTCTGCAATGCTCCAACTGATCCAGGAATTCTGCCTCCAAACATATTTCCACCAAGTTGTAATTCAGAAAGCTTTTTAAACTCCAACAAGAAAGAAGGGATGCCCCCACTAAAATGATTCTCACTTAAAATTAATGTGTTTAGCACTGTCCAGCTCCGCAGACTTGATGGCAGTGAACCATTTAGGAAATTAAATCCCACAACAAACTTGTCCATTTTGGTACAGTTTGACAGCTGAGATGGCAAAGGACCTTCTAAGTTGTTGTGAGCAAGATTCAAAGTCCGAAGATTCACAAGGTTTCCTAGCTCCGAGGGTATAAACCCTGTAAATTTGTTATTGGACAAAATTAAGTCAGTGAGATTTCTGCAGTTTCCCAAACTTGAGGGAATTGCTCCATTGATTTTGTTGTTGCTGATATCCATGAAAGTGAGATTCGGATTGCTGTCAAAATCAGGAAGAGGTCCAGTAAGAGTATTTTGTTTAAGAATCACCCTTCTAAGAGTTGTACAGCTTCCAACATCAGGAGGTATGCTACCTTGAAGTTGATTGATGCCCATATTCAGTATGCTTAACTTGTTGCCAAAACAAAGATTTGTGGGGATGTTACCAGTGAACTTATTATTTGTAAAGTCCAACTGTACTAAACTGCTATTAATCCCCAAGCTTTGAGGTATTACTCCAGAGAACTGGTTGTTAAACAATGAGATATTTTTCAGTTGTTTGAGCTCTGTCATCTCCAGAGGCAATTCTCCAAATAGGCTATTATTATATACAAGGAGATGCTCGAGACCTTGAATCTTCCAGATGCTGAGTGGAATTTCACCTGTCAATTGATTTGAAAACAATTCAAGGTCCTGTAGTTCACTCAGTTTTCCCAGTTCACTTGGAATCTTTCCCTCGAGTCGATTGGAATACAAGTGTAACTCATTCAAAGACTTGCAGTTACCAAGTTCTGGAGGAATTTTTCCTGATAAATGGTTCTCAGGAAGGTATAGAATAGAAAGCTCGGTGAGTAGACCAAAGGAGGATGGAATACTTCCAACTAAGTTAGAGTTCACAGCAGCAACTTGTGATAAACCACTACAATTCCCCAAGCCTGAAGGAATGCCTCCACTAAACACATTGTATGAGAGATCCAAAAATTGTAAATTTTTACAACCGCCAGAACCCAATGGAATGGTACCCCTAAGACTATTGCGGCTGACATCAAAATAAACAAGATCTTTAAGATTGTTTAGACTCTCAGGAAGGATACCCTGCAACTGATTTCCATCAAAAAACAACTCTTGTAATTTACTGCAGTTCCCAATGGATGAGGGAATTGTCCCAGACAAAAGGTTACTCTGAAGATACAACTGCAAGAGCCCAGTCATGTTCACAATACTTGTGGGGATGGAACCACTTAGACTGTTATAAGACAGATCAGCAAATTGTAGTTGAGGGATTTGAGTGAAGGAATCTGGAATTTCACCAGTGAGTAGATTACCACCGAGGCTGATAAACTTGAGTTTGTGCAAGTTATTCAAGGTTACAGGTATTTGGCCACTGAGGCTATTATTAGTAAGATCCAAGTACTCCAGGCGACTAAAATTTCCAATTTCAGGTCCTAATTGACCAGCAACCTCATAACCAGTGAGGTTAAGGTAAACCACATGGTGGGCATGATGGTCACATTGAACTCCAACCCATGAGCATGGAGTTGAATCAGATGCAACCCAGGTGGAGTTAATGGAAGGAGGCACGAATGTCCAGTGCTTCAAGAGTGACAAGAGAGTCACCCCATCAGAGGTGAGTGCAGAAACAGCATGCAAGAACCAACAGAAGAAAAGAAGCCACCAGACAAGTCTCATGGAGAGAAGCAGTGTTTGTTAGAGAGAGAGATAGACACAAACAAAAAGGCCTTACCTTTGTTGCAGACTTGATTACAAGAATGAAGAACAAGCTCACTGCAATGGAAAAGATGGTGTTTTGGACTCTGAACATGAGTTGAATCTGCGCAGAAACTAGAACGAAACGAGTGTATAATTAATAAGACAACAACCACCACCTCAATGCAAGTACGCAACACTGTCTGTTCCATTTGTCATTATTAAATGTTACTTTATTGGAACTATTAAATATATAAAATTATTAATGTAAGTTTACCTAATAGTTTAAGTTTTTGGATTAAATTAGTTTTTTATATGGTACTAGAGCTTCGTGTCCCGAGTACAGGTAGGTGGGCCTGTGCATTATCTACCCTTCAAACCCAGTGAGCTCTCGTGTGAGGGAGCGTGTTGAGATATATAAAACTATTAATATAACCTTACTCAATAACTTAAGCTTTTGGATTAAATTGGTTCTTTACGTTAAGCCGTCGTTAGTTGACGTTTTCACATTCACATTGCCTCTGTTTCCGAGTCAAGCCTCTTTGCTTTTGTCTTACTTTAAACCGTTAAAATTCCACATCTGAACCCCATTTATGATTTAACTATAAACATATTTTAAATTTAGCTTACTTAACAAAGTGAATAAATAAGAATATATTTATTTTTTGTTTAACTTAAAATATGTTATAATTCTCATTCATTAAAATAATTCTTGCTTATTTACTTTGAAAGAAATATTTCTTTAACAAAAATAAAACATTGGCAAACGATTCTCAAGAAGTTGGATCTTTTCAAAGTCAATTTTAATTATTTTACATTATCATTCATTAATAAAAGTTTATTGTAATATTAAATTAATTTTGAAGTTTGAATTTGGGCGTGTCTTTGTTATTCAACTAACCCCGACTTGGACTGGGGTTAAGAAAGAAGAGTGTGAACTGTGGACTTTGATTTCCAGTCTTTTCATTTTGTTATTTTTTTCAGTCAGATTGTCATTTCTTTGCTACCAGATTTGATCTACACCCACTTCTGCAGATGCCGCGTTGTACTTAATTTTGAAAGTGGTTTGACTATGTTGATGGCGACTTTATTCTTTTAAACTTAATAGAAAGGAAGAATACTTTCTAAAAATATTACTTTCTCCCATTAATTAATATTTGCTTAACTAAAAGATGAACTGCACCCCACTTTGGAATCTAGCTGATTTGCGAACCTACTTTCACACTTTATGCCTACACTTTCCTACCGTACTTGCGTCCTCATTAAAAAGATCTTGTAGAGAGTAATGGAAAGCAGAAGATCGGAATAAATACTGTATTAGTGGAATCTATAAGTTTACTATATTTCTTTAGGGGGATCGAGTCACTATATGGATGATATTCTTAGTACATGTACTGATCAAGTTAAGTGATATTGTTTCAAGTATGAAGCAAGCAATCAACAATGGGGTAGGTGTGTGTATGTGTGACTCAAGATAAATGAACAGAATAACAGTACATAAGATACCTTCACGGTGTGCCCAAGGGGCTATTTAAAGGGGAGGGTGGTGTGCGCCCGATGTAGGTTGGTGAGGAGGGGGTCAACCCTCCTTGGGATTCACTACTGGTGACAGTGTTGTGCATGGCAGGCGCTGCTGTTGTAGCAGCGCTGCGCCTGTACTTGGTGGTGTGCGTGGGGGACAAAGGGGACAGTTTCCCCTTATGGCATCTGGGGCGACCCACTTTGGGGGTTATGGTCTTAAGGTAGGACATTTCGGTGTTTTCCTTTAGGGGAGTCGCCATGTTGGGAGTTGGGTATCACCTCAGCTAGTAGGGCTGATGTGGATGCTAGGTGGAGGTTGGGCCCTGACCTTTGGGCCAGAGCCTTATTGGGTCATCCGGAACAAATACCATCATAAAGCACAAAATAAAAATAAAAAATATAAATAAAAAGTGAAAGTTAACCAGATATCTTAATAAATTTTTGGTGCTACTGTTGTACCAAAGATTCAGTACATTCCACCAATGGAAACATTACATGTCAGTCAAAATTTTCTTTTTTCTGTCAAATTTTTTCTCTCTCCTCTGACATGTAATACTCCTATTAGTGGAATGCACTGAATCTAGGTGCAACAGATGCAATAAAGATTTATTCCACCGAGCTTGGATCATGCCCTTCCTAATAAAAATATAAATTAAATCAGCAAGCATTGTTGTTACCTAGTTTACAGAAAGTTTTTTCTATATCTTTCCGTCATTTTTCTTTTAATTGTTATTTTTTATATGGGTTTTATAAGAGTTATGTTGTAGGAAAAGTGATTGTGTAATGTTATAGAGATTTGTTTTGCGTGCCTTAATTTTTTATTTATTTTTTTGTTTTAAAAAGTGTGGACCCCACAAAATGTTATGAGTGTAGAAAAGTTTGTTGTGTTATGTCAAAGGATAAAACGAAAACCCTTTTTATATATATCTTAATCCATAAAATTTTATCATTTGCCCCAAGCTCCGGAGGGTTATGAGGCAGCCCATTGTGTGTATGTGTTTTCTCTCATTATTATTTTTTATTCATTCCAGTTTCAATAAATCTCCTCTTTTCCTTTTTCCCTTTTCTCTGTAATCTCATTCGATGATTACTAATTATTCGAAAAGAAACAAACTTTGGTTGAATTGTTTTTTCCTTAGAACAAGTTAACATTGAGAAGAGCAGAATATCCCGATACGTGGCTTTCTTGCTCAACGTTTAGAACTGCTCTATTTTTCTTTGCTTCCATCCATTTTGTGTTTCCTAAATTGATTTACAGCTTCAAAATTTTCAGGTAGGATGACTTTGCGCAAAGTTGTAATATATGAATCCTTGTGTTGAGGAGGAAATGATGGTTTGAGCAAGCAGATGCTTTTGATTAGCGTTTTGCATTGTCATTAGGAGGCCATCCAAAGCAATGTGTAAGGTATGAGATTTAAGTCTCACATTAGTTATATATGAGTGATTAATCTAGGGTTTATATAGATTTTGTGCTTTCTTATTTCATGAACTAGCTTTTGAGATGAGGTTCTTTCAAGATTTGTATAAAGAACCACTTCAACTCCATTTCAACTCAAAACTTAAGGTGCGAGTGAAGGTCTTTTTAATAGTTTATGCCTAGATGAACTTTAAGGTATTGAATGATGGACATTTTTAGGAATGTGCATGGGTCGAACCGAACTGATTTTTTTGAAAAATCGAACTGAATTGGTTTAAGTGGTTCAGTTCAGTTTAAAACTGGTTCGGTTCAGTTCGGAACCGGTTCGGGTCGATCCTATTTTGAAAAGAAAAAAATTAAAAAATTAAAAAATAAAGTTATAAAAATTAATTTGGTTCGGTTTGAAAATGGTTTAGTTTGGTTCAGAAACGGTTCGGTTCGGTTCAAAATGATTCGGTTCTTAAACTGGTTCTAAAAATCGGTTCGGTTCATGAACTGGTTCTTTAAAAACCGTTTCGGTTCATGAACTAGTTTTTAAAAACCGATTATTTTAAGAGCGGTTTGGTTCTGTTCATGATTCAGTTCAATTTTTTGGTTATTTTGCATATCTCTATAGTCATTTTAATAATTTATATGAACTTTGGGTTGTCTTTTTTTACAATCCATTTACATTTTAGTTTCATTTCATTATATCTAATCTTGCTCTGTATAAAGTTAGCTAGTTGAGCAAACATGAATAACAAAATTACAAGCAACAATTACAAGAATTTATCAAGCAAACAGTTAAAGCAATAAACAAAAGTAGAAACGTTGCCAGCGGCAAAACTTGTTGCAGAGAGACAAAGACAACGGGTGAAGCTGTTTTATTCCATTCCCATATATGTCATATGGAATTAGAATTAGAGTTTGAGAAAGACAAACTCTTCGATAGCAGGCACCGCTCCTATCTGGTAAAGAGCTTCCTTGTTTGGTTCTTCATCGACACCAATAGCCATAATAGCCATCTTCCTCCGAGATGTCCTTCCCACACTCATAAAACTCACATTCACATTATGTTCAGCAAGTATATTCCCAACACTACCAATCATGCCAGGCTGATCTACCTGTCTGCACATAATTACATTCCCTTCTAAGCTCACATCCACACCAAAAGACCCCACACATGTTAAATGTGGAACACCATATTTAACTTCTCCCTCAATGCTTATCTGACCACTCTCTGATACAGCACTCCCAAATTTGGACTCCACATTTGATATCTGTATCTGGATTGAATCAAGTGGCATCTCAGGAGATGAATCAACAACTATTCTTTCCTCACTTATGCGAAGTCCTTTTTCCTTAGCAGTGAAATCCGCATTCACAAGGTTGACTATTGAATTAGATATAGGTTCAATGATGCCTTTTGTGATCATGGCTCGGAGGAGTCTAGTGTCAAGGTCATCAGGGCCTCTTGCAGATCGATAAACAACCTTCACAGTTTTGATTCCTCTTCCTCCTGACACCAACTGCACAGCTAGCCTCCCCAGCTTCTCAGCCAACACAACATATGGAGCCAGTTCTGAAAGAACCTCTGGAGCAACCATTGGAGCATTGACAGCAGTTGCTGAAAGTTCACCCTTTAATGCTCCCACCACAGCCTCTGCTATTTCAATTGCTACACCTTCCTGTGCCTCTTTAGTGCTAGCTCCAAGATGAGGCGTGACAGTAACATTCTCGTGTAACACTAACTTACTATCTTTTGGAGGTGGCTCCTGGGTGAAGACATCAAGTGCAGCCTGAGCAACAATTCCAGAATCAAGGGCTTTAACCAATGCATCTTCGTCAATGACTCCACCTCTAGCAACGTTGATGATTCGGACTCCCTTCTTCATCTTGGAAAAAGTGTTGTCATTGAAGATCTTTTTAGTAGTTGGAGTGAGTGGCATATGGAGTGATACGAAATCAGCAGTGGTGATGGCCTTTTCAAATGACACCAAATCCACACCAATAGCACGTGCTCTGTCAGCTGGTGTATAGGGATCATGTGCAACCACATTCATTCCCAACCCTTTTGCTCGCCGCGCCACTTCTGATCCTACTTTTCCAAATCCCATTATGGCTAATGTCTTCCCAACCATTGAAACTCCAACATACTTGTTTCTTTCCCATTTTCCTAAGGAATTCAACAACAAATGAATAAAGGATTTAGTGTGTGTACTTTCAAATTATATAAGCTTATGTTATTAGATTTGGATTCTCTCACACACGTTGAAAAGTGGTCATGTGTTCATGTTATTTGATTATAGTGACTCATTGATTATGAGACAAGAGAAAGAAAAGTGGTTGTGATCAAATAACATGACACATGATCACTTTTTCACGTTAGAGGATCCAAATTCTATATTATTTCACCCTTATAACTATATACTCACGAGAATATATAATTATGATACGAAAGTTGTTTTTTTCTATTTTCATGTCAACCGATAAGTTTCTCAAGAAAAAGTAAATAAAAAAATAACTTTAATATTATAACTATGTATTTTCCAGAATATATAGTTTGAAGGGGTGAAAGAACGAAACCTTGTATTCTATAAATAAATAAAAGGTTCATTTTTTTTTCTGCAGTTACTGCACATAATTTATCTACAGTAAGTCCAATACGACGTCATTTTGGGGCAAAAAATCATGTTGTTTTTGTAATTTTAATTTATTTTATGATTATTATAGTCTTTATAATTATAATTTTTTAATCTTTTAATCTCAAAATGACATCGTTTTAGAAATAAATGCAGATAACTTATCTGGCAGAAATATTTTTCTCATAAATAAATAGGAATTAATTTGTTGAATCATTCTTCATTCTACAAATAAAATGAATGAATGAATGAATAAATTTAATTACCAGCTTTGATTGAGGTGTCAGACTGGGCAACGTTTCTTGCCATGGCAGCAAGGAGAGCAATGGCATGTTCAGCGGCAGCAACAGTGTTAGCGGTGGGTGCATTAACGACGAGGCAACCAAACTCAGTGGCAGCTTGGAGATCAACATTATCAATGCCAACACCAGCTCTACCCACAACCTTCAACCTTCCCTTTCCAGCTTCAAACACCTCTCTTGTCACCTTTGTCCCACTCCTCACTATCAAAGCGTCACATGATGAGATCTTTGAACACAGTTCTTTGCCAGAGAGATCGTACGCGCATTCCACGTCCCCAAAACCACGTAGCACTTCCAGACCTGCCTCTCCCAGTTTCTCGGAGACCAAGATGATTGGTTTTCCACCCATACTCCAACATTCCTCCTTCTTTTCTTTGGAACTTGAGAGACACGTCGTGTTCCCTGTTTTCGAAGCATTGTTGACCACCAAGCTGGCACGTTGAGAATGGCTGCACAAAGAGTGAGAATAATGAGATGACAGCTTCGGGAATGGAACAATATTAGAGGCTCTTCCTCTTGAGGTGGACTCTGAACCAGAGGAGATGGAGGTGAAGGTTAAGGTGGATGATAAAACGGCTTTGGCCATGGAGGAATTCTTATATATGCTTTCTCTCTTTCTTTCTTTTTGTTATGTTTTGTTGATTGATTTTCAAGTCTTTATTATTATATAGAATAGAGTTTGAATTAATTTTAGCAGAATAGGCAAGGTTCTGGGTGGTAAGAGTTTTAGCAGAATCAATGGAGAGTGTGACAAATAAAGAAAGTTAAAGCTAAAATGCTGCCATGTTTCTTCTATTTATGGGATGGTTTTATTTGTCTATTAAAAGCATCTTAATTACTTACAAAACAAGCTCGACAAGAACGGTTTTCCTCTCATTAATTACGTATTAGTCACATCACGGGTCCTATATTCAAGTTCCTCCCCCTGGAAAAATTGTGGTAGATACATTCCATAATCAATGGATTAAACTCATATCATTTATTGGCTATGCAATTGATTTCGAAAATTCACCTTGACCTTCATTTCTCGAGACATCTATCTTATTACACGATTGACGGAATGCTTCCTTTTAAAATGTTGCTGTGCGCCTTTCTGGATCGACTTGTAAAAAAATGATTTTTGCCAACCCAAAAGTTTAAGCTGTTAAGTGAGGCTACTTTTATATATCTCAACACGCTCCCTCATATGAAAGCTCACTGGGCTTGAAAGATGGACAATGCACAGGTCCACCTACCTGTGAGAAGAAAGAAATTACACTTGAAAGAAAGTGGGGGCGGTGAAGATCAAACCTTAAGGTGTGGGGACGGGTGAGGATCGAACCTTAAGGTGTGGGAGTGAGGACCTTTTTAATGATTTATATTATTCTCTAATACACCCCCTCACACAAGGGCTTTAAGTATGGATATTGCACAGACCTAATGTTTTTGGTTTTACCTCGTGCTTTTTTTTTTAATTCCACTTGAAAGTGGGGGTGTGAAGATCGAACTCGTGACCTTATGGTCACTGAAGCGCTCTGATACCATCTAAAGAACTAATTCAACCCAAAAGCTTAAGCTCTCAAATGAGGTTACGTTTCTCAACATTTTATATTTTACTTATTTTAAAAGTATTTTAAAAAAAAAATTAAAACTATTTAAATTTACAAAAATATTTAGTTTTTGAAAAAAAAATTGACTTTTGACTTCTACTTTTTTATAAGTTAAAATTTTTAGCTTAAAAAAAAAATTACTTTTTTTGTTACCTTTTTTTTAAACAGATATCTAAACAGACTTTTGTAGAAGAAATATTTTTATTTTCTAAAAAAAATAGTTTTTGGCTAAAAAAACCTCTTCGAAACGGCTCTAAAATCAAATTGTAGGACCTTCTTGCATAACTATAACAACCCAAAAACTTATTACTACTAAAACATGTAAAAAAAATGGAAACGTATATATCATTTTAAAGGATTTAAAGTTGTGTCAGTTTAAGTTTAAGTTTAAGTGAGAAAAAGAGATAGATCAAGGAGAAAAGAGAGTGATCAAAAAAAATAAAAATGTCACATCTTTATGAGAGCGAAATGATACAAATTATGTCATTTAAAAATACAAATACTTTTTCAAAAAAAAATTAACACGTACACATTTAGAAGCTAGTGATAATAACTAACAACGTAATAATGGAGTTCTCAAAAATAAAATAAAAAAATAATAATGTAATATAGGAATTTTTTATTGGATCCCTTTTTTTTTTGCTGTCACTCCAAATAAGATTTTTTGCAACAAACACAGAGAAAATGGAATCCACTCGTTTTTCAAATAAATAAATAAAAACCCAGAATCCATCATCATATCCTGAGTTTCTATTTGTCGTAATAAAATAAAATTATAAATTATCTGCTTCGGCTTTAAATCATTTTCAAAATATGTAAAAATTTTAAATTCTAAAGATTCACATACTTGAAGTTTTAATACTTAGCAATTTAATGTTTTTATTAATTGATTATTTCCTCTATTTTTTTTTTCTTTAGATACATATTATCAGTTTGGTTGGTTTCTGTGTGCGTGTCATTTTCATTCAATTATTCTAGAGTATAACAAAATGCTTTTTTATTTTTAAAATTCCGCTAATAAGAATCATTTATGCCTCTGTGGTTTGCTTCAGAATCATTTATGCCCTTGTAGTTTTTTTTCTATCACATATCCCTCTGTGCTTTGTAAAAATTAAGAAACCACAGGGGTATATGTGATAAAAAACGTACCCTTTTACAAATCACAGGGACATATGTGATAAGAAAAAAACCACAGGGGCATAAATAATTCTGAAGTAAATCACAGGGACATTGGTAAACTTTTCTCTAAATAATATTATTTGAGACATGAATAAATTATTATTATTAAATTTTATTGTGTTTAATGAATAGGTTAATATGATAAATGGTGATTATATGTGAGTGATTGTCTATCTAAAAGTAGTGACTTCAAACGCCAGTGGGCCTACCTCAATCTTGTAAAAACGAAAAGAGGGAAATAAAGTGAGAAAAGAAGAGCGAATAGAAGGGGTTATAGAAGTAACTGAACCTTGGAGAAGGTCAAGAGCTCAACTTCATCTAATAACCTTAACTTACCTTATTCAAAAGGGTGTAAGAATTTCTCTCCAAATAATCAAACTTGTATTGTAGGTCATCTAAAATCATTTTATTTTATTTTTAATCTTTCACAAATATAACTTTTTCTCCATCCATTCAGGTCAGTTTCTCCAGTTTCATACTTTATTCTACATGTATTTCTCTTTTTCAGTCATTACGAATTAGGAAAGTTTTCAATTATGATCATGCAAATTCTGTAGTATCTTAGAATTAGGGATGAAAAGGGGAAATTTGTGTTCTTTATATTTACTTTCAAAGCATATCTATTCTGGCATGTGATCATATGATAAACGATTCTTAGATTTTGGCATATTTTGTTCGCTATTCTATTCGTTTTCTAAAATCAAATATTGACTAGTAGTGTAAGCATGTCTTTGATTGCACAAATTTTGGATCAGTACCAGATATATTTTCAAAGAAATCTAATTATAATGCTCATTTTCATTTCTATTTCATCTCTTTCTACCTCATTCCGCTGCGAGCTGAACTACATATAAGATTAGAAAAGGGAGATTTGTTTTTCATTCTGCCTTTTAGCCTTTAAGTAAATGAGGTTTCCCTGGTTATGCTATTTATAAGCTCAAAAAAATCTGCTAACACTTGTGCTTCTGCATAATATAAATGGAGAATATGATTTTTGACTCTAGATTTTTTTATAGGGGCAAGCTCAGGAACCTTTTCTTAACTACTAGCATGGATCTTAATGATCTTAACAAGGTCTGGGAAATTAAACCGCTCAAGAGAATTGGAGAAGATGAAGCGAGAAAGATTCTTGAAAAAGTAGCTAAGCAGGTGCAACCAATAATGCGAAAAAGAAAATGGAAAGTCAAGGTTCTCTCTGAATTCTGGTACTTACTTATTTACATCCCTTCATTTCATGTTATAATGTTACACACTTACACTGGCGTGCAAGTATTAGTTGTCTAAAACTTTAGATTGCAGCCCTGCCAATCCATCACTTTTAGGGCTGAATATAGGACCGGGCGCTGAAGTTAAGCTAAGACTAAGGAAGCCTAACCGTGAGTGGGATTTCTTCCCTTATGAGCAGATTCTTGATACTATGTTGCACGAACTTTGCCATAATGAGAATGGCCCCCACAATGCTCAGTTTTATAATCTTTTGGATGAAATCAGGAAGGTAATGCTTTCGTGTCTTTCTATATATATATACTTTTTAATGCTCTCTGTACTTAATAAATGCATTCTTCTTTGTTCATATGACCTTAATATTGTATGTGCGTTTCAATGAAATAGCATAGGGTTTTAAATTGAATGATATGAAAATTTTCTAGTTTATGATAACACACTATGCTGGTTTTGCCTGCATGGTTTTACTTGTCTATATGGAGGCAAAACTTAGTGCATTTCTAGAGGGTGCACACACACACACACACAAGCAGCAAAAGAGGTTGGGGAAAAGGTGAGGGCTGGGATGCTGTTGTCACATTGAGTCCTAAGATCTTGCATAAAGTTGAGGTTCACACCAAAGTTATTCTGTCAGGTGTAACCATTAAATTAGGATCTTATTTGTGTTGGCTTGCTATCTTTTTATAGATTCACATTCTTGTCGGTATTGGTCATAGATAATTTGTATACTTAGTTCAGATCCTACACGACTGTAGGAATGCGAAGAACTGATGGTAAAAGGGATTAGCGGCACTGGGAAAGGATTTGACCTTTCTGGGAGACGTCTGGGGGGCTTCTCCCATCAACCTCCTTTGCTAGCACTTCGTCAGACTGCATTGACTGCTGCTGAAAACAGAGCTCATCATGGAGCTTTGCTGCCTTCTGGACCTCGGTGTTTAGGTGGTGATAACTATATTAAGTCTGCTCTGAGTCCAATACAGGCTGCTGCCATGGCTGCTGAAAGGAGACTGCATGATGACATGTGGTGTGGGTCAGAGTCTGCAGGGGGTGACATTTATATACAGAAGAATGCAAGTTCTAGTGGACCTTCTGAGAGGAAAAGAATGCCCTTGAGTTCTAATGTTAGATCTATTCAAACTTCAGCTACTCAATCTGCGGTGGCCAAGGAAACAGTTGGTGGAGCAAAATGGCAGTGCGATATTTGCACTTTATTAAATGAGGTACAATTTGTTATATTTGTTTAATTATGAAGTTGATAAAATGCATAAAATACTTATGGTTTTGATTGCATTTTGTATTAATTTATGTAATCTGTGTAATGCTTCTGCTTCATTGCTGTGTTCAATCACAAAATGTTGACCCTATCAATTTGAAATTTTGCAATCTGCACCCTCTATCCAACGTAAGCATGTATAGAAGAATGAAAAGGATCATTCAAGTGTCATTTTGTGCCATGGCACTCAGTGCCTGAGCCGATCTTGTTAATTTTTGCTAGCCGTCTTGATGGGTAAGGTATCTGTAGGCTGTAGTTTTTGGAGGACAAACTTGTTTCATGGAACAAGGGCCGTTCTACCATATTGATAATCATAACCACTAACCACATTCCACCTAGTAAGTTGTTAAATGTGTCAATGTGTTCTGTCAGCAATAAGATGATTTAAGTTGTACAATTGATACAGAATTCCGTGATCAAGGATATAGTGTGGTGTCAATTTGCTCACTATTTAATCAATGAACGTAGCCAGCTATTGTGATTGTAGTGACTAACTAGTGATCATGACTAGGTCAGCTTCTTCCTCTCTTTCATATGGTACAATAGAGCTCTTCCTTGTGCCTTTGATTCTCTGAACAGGTATTTGAATCTATATTGATCAACAGTACATGTGCTACCCATGTAAGGTTTGTCTGTAGTTGACATAAGTTTGCAAACAACTTAACAGATGCAGCTTTTTAGCTGGGTGGCATCACATGATTAATCTATTATCATTGTAAAAGGAAATGGTAGATAAAGCTTAAATTTTGACATTTCTATGTGCAATTGTACCTAGGTGACTTTGCAGTAACAACTATGAACTAATGCACATGTCACTGTATCTTGTTTAAGCGACCCCATTTAGCATTTTATGTTACATTCAGATTGAGCCATGTATGCAGCTGTGAACAATTGTGACGCCCAATACAAATAGCATCATTCTCATGATTTGTATTCTTAAAATACCATGTTAAGTACATAATAAAAACAAGAATATCAAGTTGAGATTATCTCAAAAACACTTGTAAGTTGCTGAGGTTTTCCTGTTTTGTCCCTCCCCAACCTTCCCCAAAACACGTTGATCAAGTGGTTTGTTGGTTTAGTCAATTCGCTGCATTTGGACCTAAAACAATGTCTTGCAGATGATAGTTTTTTTTAGGTTTGAATTTTTTTTATGTGATTAGGAAGCTGCTCATAAATTTTTTTTATAACAGTAGTTCCATACATTGATAGAAATGAATTCTGATGACTTGGTTTATTTCAGCCATTGGCATTGGTATGCGAAGCCTGTGGAACAGAGAAGCAGAAAGATGTTTCCAAGTTCAAAGTTTGGTCTTGCAAATTTTGTACTCTAGAGAACAGTGTTGAGCAAGATAGATGCTTAGCTTGTGGAGAATGGAGATATTCACATGGCCCACCAGTCTCCGTTTGTGGGCCTTATGTTGGCACCTAACTGGACGAAAGTCAATGAATCCATGCACTCAAAACAACCACATTTTCAAAAACCAGGATACAGGGCTTTATTTGTTAAAAATACGTGGTTTACCATTTTGACATTTTCAAAAACCTCAACACAAAATATAAGGTTGTTTGCATTTTGACATATAACTGCTTATATATTAATTATATCAGAGTGTTTCATGTTTAGTAGTCTACATTATCTTGATAAGTAAAAGTGATGGGAACTACTCATCTATTCAATAATCAATGATAATGCCAACTCATATTGGCAAAATTACGGACAAAAGAAATGAGCTTGTTTATTTTTTTTAATTTTTTTTCCCTTCCACAGAAAGTTATTGCATAAAAAAAAAAAAAAAAAAATCACTCTCCATTAAACTCTAATTTCGAAACACATTAAGAAAGACATTCGTTTCATATTACAGCAAATTTTGGTGTATGCTAAAATTTGAAATGTAAATTTTTCCAGATACTCATTGCTACAGCCTACAAGGGTGAATACCATTGCCTCAGGTTTTCCTTCATGCTGACAATTCGCGTTGCTTGATTGAATGCGAAACACCCTCCTTCAAGGAAGCCTTCCTTCCTTAAAATTCCAGAGCTACGGTAATGGGTATTTACCAATTCCAGAGCTAGGGTAATGGGTATTTACCAATTCCAGAGCTAGGGTTGTGTTGGAATGACGTCCTTCAAGAAATATTCGTTTGGGTCAAGACAAATGCATAAAGATGGTTCATAGACAATCGGCTTAAATTTCAATGTCAAACAAAGAAAAACACGTTTTTTCTATCGGAACATTGATAAAGTCTATGAAAAAATCTCGATAAAGCTGATGGAGGAGCTTCTAATTATTTTTAGGGAAAAATGTGTATAATTTTAAAGGATGTAAAGTTGTGTCATTTTAAGAGAGAGAAAGAGATAGATAAAGGAAGAGAGAGTTGACAAAAAAAAAATAAAGGTGTGGGTCCCACCTCTTTGTGAGAGTGAAAGGATGTAAGTTGTGTAATTTTAAATGATAGACATTTTTCCCTTATTTTTATTCATTATAAAAAAATTATGATGATAATAATTTCTATAAAAATATAGTTAATTTAATTTTTTTAATAAAAAAAACTAAATAAAAAAGAATAAATTTATTTAAGAGAAAATATATTTATCATATTACAATAGAAAAAGGGAAAAAGAAGTATCCTTTAGAATGATACAAGCTTTGTCATTTTAGGTGTTTTACACAAAGTACGACCGATCGTATTTTGTGTAAAACTGAAAAGTTATTTTTTTTTTCTCTTTCCTCAATCACATTCTCACGTGTAAAGTGAACAAAAATAACTTTTCAGAATTACACAAAATACGACCGGTCCTACTATGTGTAAATCACTAAAATGACATGTCCTTTTAAATGATACACACTGAAACCATGGAAAAATCATCTTATTAAAAAATAAAAAAAATCTTGTTACAGTAGCGCTGAAGATATGGTGGAGGCCAAGGTGATGCGCAGGCGTACACTTCACGCTAGAGAAACCAAAGCAGCTCCAAATGGTTGAAGCTGATTGGTGGAAGGGGGGCGCGTGGATAGCGACTCTCCCTCAAATTTCACGTCATTGCCATCGCTCTCATCGTGCATCAGCATCGAACACAATTTGGTTGTTGGTTCAATCATTTTCATTCCCTTAATTGAGTTTTCTTAATGTTCAATTCATTTACACTTGTGGCGATGGCGCTGCTTTATCTCATTTGATTTTATTTTCAAATTCCAGTATGAGACCGACTCAATCGCCGCCGCCAACGCCGCCATCCTCATCTAACCCTAAGTCCCACTCCCACCGCCGCGGCATAGACCTGACCTTGCCGTTGCCGTTACCGGTGCCGGACCGAGCCACATCAACATCATCATCCTTTGGACCGCCCCTTCCCCTTCCCCTTCCCCCTCCCCCTTCTACCCTCACCGTCCCCTTCTCCGAGCTCGACCGCCTCAACCGAATCGGCAGCGGATGCGGTGGCACCGTCTACAAGGTCCTCCACCGAACCACCGGCCGCGTGTACGCTCTCAAGGTTATAATCGGCAATCACGAGGAATCGGTCAGGCCGCAGATCCACCGGGAAATCCAGATCCTCCGGGACGTGGATGACCGGAACGTGGTGAAGTGCCACGACATGTACGACGAGAACGGGCAAATCCAGTTGCTGCTAGAGTTCATGGACGGAGGGTCCCTGGAAGGGAAACACATCCCCGACGAGAAACAACTCTCGGATGTGGCAGGTCAGATTCTCCGGGGAGTGGCGTACCTCCACCGGCGGCACATCGTCCACCGGGACATAAAGCCGTCGAACCTTCTTATAAACTCGAGGAAGGAGGTGAAGATAGCAGACTTCGGGGTGGGACGTATGCTGAAAGAAACGATAGAACCTTGCAATTCATCGGTGGGTACGATAGCATACATGAGCCCGGAGAGGATAAACACGGAGAAGAATGAGGGGCGTTACAACGCGTACGCAGGGGATATATGGAGCTTTGGTGTGAGCATATTGGAGTTTTATATGGGAAGGTTTCCATTTGGAAAGCATGGAGATTGGGTGAGCTTGATGTGTGCCATATGTATGTCTCAGCCCCCTCAGGCCCCCCCTACTGCTTCCCTCCATTTCAGGGATTTCGTGTCTCGCTGTTTGCACAGAGATCCCTCCCGCAGGTGGACTGCCTCTGCCCTCTTGGCCCACCCTTTTATTGTTCTTTCTTCCTAATCGTATGTTACGGGCAAAAGAAAGAGAGGAGCTCCTACATGGGCTAAGACTTTATAGTGGATGTTTAATTGCATTTTTATGAACTGAGGTACTGCATGTCAGTATTGTAGGAAGGGTATAATAGTCATTAAGCTGTCATAAGCTGTTAGATGAGGTGGCAGTTAGTTAGGAATTGTAGCCATGTGTCCAATTGGTGGAATGCACGAGGTTAGCTAGTTGTCAAGTGTTACAAGGGCAATTGTAAACAGAGAAGACTTCATTCTGAATAATATACACTTTTGTGAATTCTTTCAATTCTTCTCTTGCTTCTTTGTTAGGGTTCTTACCTTTTAACATTGGTGCTTTCATATTGTTGTTCTCACGCCGTTTGACAATGAGAATTCAAGAGTTAGCTGAAGACTTATCCTCTTTACAGACGCGAGTTGATCGAAGTTTGGAGGACTTGCAGCAGCGTTATGTTGATCATCAAACCTAGTTCGTGAACCTCAACAATCAGCTTCAACAAATCCATGCAGCGATTATGGGTGTTGAATCTCGTATGAATGATCATGCCATACTCAGACCTTCAACAAATGCAGTTCCAAGTAGTTCTGGTCATGCAGAACATAATCAATTCAGGTTTGATCCTTCGGATTCGCGAAATGTGATGCGATCTGTTAAAATGGAATTACCTTCTTTTGATGGAAAAGATCCAGTGTCCTGGATTTTTCGAACGGAGTTGTATTTTGGGTTGCATCAAATACCCGATACTCTAAAGGTTCGCTTAGCAGGTATGAAAATGGAGGGAATGGCTGGTCCATGGTTTCAATGGTTGTTTAGTGGAGGCACGATTCAATTGTGGGAGGATTTCAAGGTTGCATTACAGCAACGTTTTGGTGGCACTACATACACTGATCTCAGGGGTGTGTTATCCAAATTAACTCAGGAGGGTGATCTTACTGATTACATTCGAAGTTTTGAAGCATTGATTAATCAAGTAACCGAGTTTTCTGATGCGGTTTTGATGAGTTTTTTTGTTTCTGATTTGCAAGCTGATTTAAAGAGAGCAATTCAATTGCATAAACCCACTTCCTTGCATCAAGCCATGCAATTAGCCTTGACATATGAAGCTCATTACTTGGACCTTCGTAAGTCCCTGTCCTCTGTACCCCAGAAATTTTATCCCAAGCCCTTGTCCAGTGTCTCACACAACCCTACTACCACCTTTGTACCACACCACAAATCAAATTTTCCTGCCTTGCCATCTACTGTACCTATCAACAAACCAAGTTCTCCAGCCTTACCACCTCCAGCATCCAGTAGGAGGGTGTCTAATGAATATTTGCAGAAGAGAAGGGATTTGGGTTTGTGCTATACTTGTGATGAGAAATGGAATTCTAAGCACATATGTAAAGGTTGTATGCTGTTCATGGTTGGGGAATCTGAAGATGCCGTGTTAGACAGTGAGGAACAAATAGTATGGCAGCCTGAACAGATGCCACAAGATCATATTGAATCAGTGATACAACATATGGATGCAACATTACATTCTATGGAGAGTGACCAGAATCCTAGAGCTTTGCAATTTCATATTCAGATGAATGGCAGGTCAGTTCCTATTCTCATAGATTCAGGCAGTTCTCATAACTTTGTGCAAAAGGAACTAGCTCTCAGTTTAGGCTTGCCTATGATTAAAGTCCCAAAAATGAGGGTATTCTTAGGAAATGGGGATTTTCTGGTGTGTGAAAAGAAGTGTCCTGCTGCTGTGATGAACATTCAGGGGCATGACTTTGTGGTGGACCTTTGGATTATTGATTTAACTGGTCTAGGAATTATTTTGGGTATCATGTGGTTGAGTACTTTGGGAAAAGTTATCCATGATTATACTGGTCTATCAATGGAATTTAATTGGCACAATCAGAGGATAATTTTGAGGGGAGAGAGAGGCAGTAATAAGAGTTCTTCTGCTGAATGCTTTGCTTTACCTCAAATTGATGTTGTCACCATGCTTTCGAGGGAAATCAGTGTCAAGGAAGGATTAACAAAATTGTCAACAGTAAAGGATACAATTCCTTTGGCTGTGTGGAACGTTTTGGTTCAGTACCAAGATGTCTTTCAAGTACCACAGGGACTACCTCCTGCCAGGGATTATGACCATGCTATCCACTTACAAGCAGATTCCAAGCCAGTAAATGTGCGGCCCTATAGATATGGTCATCATCAAAAATCTGAAATCGAGAAGCAAGTGGCTGATTTGTTAGCTTCTGGTTTCATTAAGGTTAGCAGAAGTCCCTGTTCTTCACCAGTTCTGCTTGTGAAAAAGCATGACAATTCTTGGCGAATATGCATTGATTATAGAGCTTTAAATAAAATAACAATAAGGGATCGATTCCCAATCCCTACTATAGATGAACTACTTGATGAATTGAGAGGAGCAAGTGTATTTTCCAAGTTGGATTTAAGAAGTGGATATCACCAAATACGGTTACTTCCTCAAGACACTCTCAAGACAACCTTTAGGACTCATGATGGACATTATGAGTTTTTGGTAATGCCATTTGGTTTGACAAATGCTCCATCTACATTCCAATCGGCAATGAATCAAATGTTTAGACCTTATTTGAGACGATTCATCATAGTGTTCTTTGATGACATCTTGATATATAGTGTTTCTCTTGATGAACACTTGATTCATTTGCAATTGGCCTTAGAATGCTTGCAACAGAATCAGTTTAAGGTCAAAATTAGTAAATGTGGGTTTGCTCTATTTGAAGTGGACTATTTAGGACATCTTGTTTCAGGAGGGGGAGTTAAGGCTGACCCCAAGAAGATTTGTGCAATGATGGATTGGCCTCAACCAAAGAATATGAAGCAACTTAGGGTTTTCATTGGCTTAACTGGTTATTATAGAAGATTCATCCGCCAATATGCCACCTTGGCAGCTCCTCTCACTGACTTGCTTAGGAGTGACTCTTTTGTTTGGAATGATGAAGCTGCCACAACTTTCCAATTGCTTAAGGAAACCATGAGTTCCACTCCTGTCCTTATTTTACCTGACTTCTCTCTTCCTTTTGTAGTTGAAACTGATGCATCATCAATTGGCATAGGGGCTGTATTGTTGCAGAACAGCAGACCAATATCGTTTTTCAGTAAGAAATTGGGACCTAGAATGAGGGTGGCATCAACCTATGTTAGGAAACTTTTTGCTGTCACTGAAGCTGTGAAGAAATGGAGGCATTATTTGCTTGGCTCCAAGTTTGTTATCAAGACTGATCATAGGAGCTTGAAGGAACTTCTTTCTCAAACAGTTCAGACCTTGGAACAGCAAAGGTATGCTTGTAAGTTGATGGGATATGACTTTGGTATCGAGTATAAGCCTGATAGTTCTAATATTGTGGCTGATTCCTTATCTCGAATGTATGAAGAAGAAAAGGGAGGTACTGCCCTGTCCTTGTTATCTGAAATTCATTTTGATATCATGGATCAACTTAAGGGGGAGAATACTTCTGATCCTGAATTGTTGTCTTTACATTCTAAGTTGAGCAAGGGTATCTCTGTTGATCCTCATATTACAGCAAGGGATGGAGTGTTGTATTACAAAAATCGTTTGCTGTTAAGTTCCACATCTGAATTGAAGCAAATTCTGTTGAATGAGGCACATGCTACTCTCATTGGGGGACATGCGGGTGTGACTCGCACCTTGCTGAGACTATCTGCTTCATTCCATTGGTCGCATATGAGGAATGAGGTAACTGAATTGATCAAGAATTGCTCCATATGCCAAATGGTGAAAACAGCAACAACACCTCCTTTTGGGTTGCTCCAGCCGTTGCCAATTCCAAATGGGGTGTTTGAAGACATCAGCATGGATTTCATCACTGGCTTACCCTCTTCTCGAAACTTCACAATCATCCTTGTGGTGGTGGATCGCCTTTCTAAATATGCACATTTTGGTGCATTCGCTAGTCCGTATACAACAGCTAAGGGATAGGGATAGTGTCTTCTTAAGTCAATTTTGGACCTTGCTGTTCAAATTTAGTGGGACCAAGCTTCATACTAGCACATCTTATCACCCCCAATCGGATGGGCAATCTGAAGTGACTAATAGATACTTAGAACAGTATCTTCGAGCGTTTTGTTCGGATGAAAACCATAAATGGTCATTGTACTTGAGTTGGGCAGAATTACATTACAACACAGCACATCATGCTTCTATTGGTATGAGTCCTTTCCAGGCACTTTATGGCAAGCTGCCACAAGTAATTCCTTATTACTCTAAAGGGCTAGTCAAGGTGGAGGCAGTGGATACAGCCTTAGTTCACAGAAATACCTTACTGGCTCAGCTTAAAAATCACTTGCAGGGAGCACAGAATAGAATGAAAATTCAGGCAGATAAACATAGGAAGGATATATCCTTGGCAGTAGGTGATCTGGTCTTGGTTAAACTACAGCCTTACAGACAGATGACAGCAGCTCGAAGGCCAAATCAGAAGTTGGCCAAACGTTATTTTGGTCCATTTCCCATCATCAGGGTGTTGAGTCCGGTTGCTTATCAATTGCAACTTCCAGCAGGATGCAAGATACATTCTTCCTTTCATGTTTCGGTGTTGAAACCTTTTAGGGGTAATCATCCTGATCTTATTCCTACTGTACCTGAATTTGGTCAAGGGAATTATCCTATCCAGGAACCAGTGGCTGCTTTGATGTCTCGCAAAGTTTCTGGCAGAAACAAATTACGAACTCAATGGTCTCATTCTTTGCCTGAAGATTCTTCTTGGGAGGATGAAGAAGACCTCAAGCTTCATTATCCTAATTTGAACCTTGAGGACAAGGTTGATTTGGAAGAGGAGGGTAATGTTACGAGCAAAAGAAAGAGAGGAGCTCCTACATGGGATAAGGACTTTATAGTGGATGTTTAATTGCATTTTTATGAACTGAGGTACTGCATGTCAGTATTGTAGGAAGGGTATAATAGTCATTAAGCTGTCATAAGCTGTTAGATGAGGTGGCAGTTAGTTAGGAATTGTAGCCATGTGTCCAATTGGTGGAATGCATGAGGTTAGTTAGTTGTCAAGTGTTAAAAGGGCAATTGTAAACAGAGAAGACTTCATTCTGAATAATATACACTTTTGTGAATTCTTTCAATTCTTCTTTTGCTTCTTTGTTAGGGTTCTTACCTTTTAACATCCTAATCCTCCCTATAATCAAATAAATCAAACTCAATACAACATAATCAATTGCCATTGTTTCTGCTCTAGGGTCCAGTTCTTTTTCTTCTTCTTTTTCATCCAT